GTTCCCTGCTGGTGGCACCAGCTGCAGCAGATTTGCCTCCCGCATGGGTGTACTTATAAAATAAAGCCTTTGAAATATTCCAGAAATAATAATTGTTACCCGTATGCTGACCCACTTAAACAAAAGGTGGCCAAACAGCTGCATTTTTTGTTTGCTTTTGTGAATGTGTAAACTATGTGGGGAACTAAAATGCTGAATATGGAAGCTACTGTATTTGAGAATGAATAATGTTATTGCCTCATGTCCTGAGAATTAAGTGGTAGTTACGGCTACTTGTTTGTTTTACTCAGTTTTTTCATGTTCTGTATTGTCCTTCGCAGTGGAGAAGGTGAAGACCCAGTGGGACAATACCCAGCATGGTGTGGAGGTGCGGCAGCAGCAGCTGAAGTACATGCTGACTGACAGCATGCAGTGGGATGAGCAGAGGCAAGAAATGGAGCACCTCATGGAGCAGTGTGAGATCCGTCTGCATATGCTCTTGCAGGCCTCAAAAGAGATGCTTGTCAAACAGATTTCAGAAAACAAAGTAAGACCATCTACACTTTCCTCCCCCCCGCCACTACACTTCACAGCCTATGTAATGCTATTGGATTCAATTCATGTGCAAATACACAGTTTAGTTGTAGGACTGATTTGGAAATTCTGTCTCTTTTGAGATATATTCTAAATTGTCTCTGGTTTTTTATATATATATTGAACTTCCTGAGACTTCCTTTCTGGAAGGGAAACAGGTGGCATGTGTGCATGTGTGTCTTTTTGTAAGTGTAGTTGAAACTAGTACAGTATAGCATCAAATAAATAATATTATGCAAAAAAAGCTTGAACCTCAGACCAATAAAAGTTTAATCACACAGCCACAGAATGTAGCATGTATTACTTCATAGAAACCTATTAGTAGTGGTTTAGTAAATCCAGGAATGGACCAAGTTTAAAATTATCCTGAATTTCACGTCTAATGGGTTGCCAGGTGTTTTCAACATTTTTTTTTTCCAGTCCCATGCAATCTTCACTGCTTTTCGTATCACAGGAAATCTGCTGTGATAAATCAATAAGTCTGATGTCTTTTGTCCTGGTGGCTGTCAGAAAAAGGGAAGGTTGTAGGTGGCACAGGATGAGAACTAAAGAGACAGATCAATGAGGAGGGGCTCTTATCAGGGCAGTATTTAGAACAGGGATATAAGAGAATTTTAAAAACTTTGTGTATATACATATACACACATATATATTCATGAACGAGCAACATAGGGGTGCAGTTGAGTATGGAAAGAAGCAGGGAGTATGATTCTGAGAATTCCTCACTGATCCATAGCTATTTCAGTAAACAGTGAAATTGTGTGCTTTTCATTGTCTGTCTCTACATAAGTAGGAGATTGGAAATGGACTATTAGGCTTGCTTTGCTTTAAGTGAAAGTAAGCCTGTGCCTAGACATATAGTACAGAGGTCATAAGATACAACTAGGCATATATATATGCAAATTCTTTTTTTCATTTAGAAATAATCTTGAGTTCAGGATTCTGTAAAGTCAAGGCACCTTAAGAATATCGTTCCACAATAAGCAGACACAGCTAATGTATTTTCTTCATTTAAAGAACAAAAAAACCCCGCAAAACAATGAAATTACATTCTCATGCTGTGCACTTCATTTATGCCACTTTTAGCTTCTGCTTATATCACTATTATCATAATTTAAACTTATTCAAGCTACTAAGAGTACAGAAGTGTTTTTACTTCTGTTGCCAGTAGAACAGTAGGTCGCCAGTAGATTTTTCTAGCCTTTTGCAGTCTCGCAAATATAATTTCTCTTCACCTATTTGTGTTTTGATTCTTTCATTGTCAGGATGATTATTATCTGTAGATTTTCTTTTTAAGATTTTTCTTCTAGATGAAAAATATGCACCTTTTTTAAAAGCAAAAAGGAGGATTTTATAATATGATAAAATGCATAATATGAAAAATAGTCTGATTGTACTCTGTCTCATTCTGGAATTGCTTTTTAGCTGTTAGTACAGGATTTGCATAGAGGTGACATCACGGTAGCTGCATTCAATGATCTTTCTAATAAACTTCTTCGAGAGTATCGTGATGATGATACAAGGAGGGTGAAGGAAACCACTGACCAAATGAACACTTGTTGGGTTAATCTGAACCAAAGGTAATTACAAGATTTCACTCTGTATTAACTGTTTGTCTTAAACTTTTAACTTATGCATACATGTGTATTGCAATCTGTCTGCATTATTGCAGCATTTAGGGTTACTATGGATAATTAGCCAATTACAGTCAAGCAGTTCTGAGTTTTGATGATGAAAATTTCCGCAGTTCACCATGGAAGGCTTCTGTATGACTTCTCATTTATGTGGTGGGGTTTTTTTAAGGGTGGAGGAAATAAAATAAGTACTTTCCTGTTTGGTCTCAGGTTTGCCTGTGGTTGTTCTCTAAGTGTCTCTTGAACAGTTCCTTGATGCTGGTATGAGTTATGTATTTGTAGTTGCTGTGCTTTCTTTTCAGAAGGCCATAAGTATTCAGCTTGGTCTCCCAACTCATTAATTCATAATGGTCTTTCATCTAACAAACTTTCTCTGAATAGGGCTGTGCTTTGGGTTCCCAAATGTGATGCTTCTAGCACTCCTATTTAAAAAACACTTGAGCTATAGGTTCTGGGGCCTGCTTGAAACATACTTCTTTCTGTTCATCCTCTATTAAGACATATTTGCAAATATGTCTTAATGCAAAAATATTTTCCTATGCATAATATTTTTTTAGAATAGTGTCTGACTCAGTGCCTGCAGCTTAAAGGACAGTATGCTTTGTGCTTAGAGGGATGAAAGAGAAAATTGATCCTGTGTATATGGAAGTGGGGCAGATGACATCCAAAGTCTGTATGTTTGTGTGCAAGTATGTACATGTAAATGGGACAAATGCTTCTGTAAGGAAATGTCAGTTAAGGGAATGAAAATCCTAGGTAATAAAGCCTCTGAAGTTGTTATATCCTGGGGACTGAGAGGAGGATCTTTGCAGTGGCAAGTAGTAGGCAATGAAGGAAGCAGAGTAGAATATCTCCTTATCCTTCTGTGTAGGGACATGGTGCTTCTGTCATTTTGTGCTTTTGATGTAGCAACTGGTTTCCTGGTTATGCCTATGAAGGGATGAGGTACAAAACAGGCAAAACTTTATATGGCTCATGCTATGTGATCGTTTGAGAGAGAATAAACATTTGTTAGTATCTAAATGTTTTGAGACATAAGATAGGGGTTTTCAAGTGAGTAAAACTTTTTATAATTATTCTACGTGATGCAGACAACTTCTGTTCGTGGTTCTTTGGAAAACTCCCAGTAGACTGTGGAAAAGGCTTTGGCATATGTCAAAACTTCCTTGGCATTTTACTTTTACTTTTTTTGAACTAGGTCATAATGATGAGATCATCTCCTGAAATGGCCCTTCCAGACCATTCATTTGCATTAATATTAGGAACTGCAGCATTTTCACCATCAGGTCATTCTTTCTTTCCGCAAAGTAAACGAATAATTTTCCAAAAATGCCATTAACTTCATCTGAATGTCACGAGGACATCAGGGGGTGAAGATGCAATTAGAGGGTGAGGGGAAACAGCTCCTTGTTGGATTAGCAGTAACAGTAGACTGCAGCTCTATCATAGTCTCATTCACATTCAAGCTTTGCAGTGTTTTGGCCAGAACTGGCGTAAAACTGCCCACTACTCAGAGCAGGTGACCAGAAAGAAGAGCTCCTGCCTGGAAGCCTCTAATTATTTTTGAATCTGCTTAAAGCCTGGAATAATAAGCAATTGCATTCTGTTATGTATAACTGAAGCTCCTCAATTATCACTGAGGCTACTGTTTTGCAATCTGCAGCCTTAGGAAGATGAGTATCTGCTTTGTTTCTTAACTAGGGACAGAATGCAAAGGAGAACTCAGAGCCAGCGGGTAGCCAGAGTGAGGAGCTGCTCAACATAACCCCGTGGAGCAGCAGAGATGAATCAAAAGGAGAGAATGTGCAGTGAAAGCACTTTCTCAAGGGACTGAAATTTTTTAATACTTGCTTTAAATGCAATAAATAGAAATGCTAGTGAACATCTCAGGACATACAGAGGCTGTACATGGAGCATGCATGTGGCCCTATGGCTTCTGTAAGCACAGATATGTATTTATAGCATAATGCTTTAAAATACTGGTTTGTTCCCATGCTTGGAGGTTGTGGAAAGAGGGACCCTTAGTAACATTACCTGGGAGAATCACAGTACTGAATAGCACAAGAACACTACCAGGAAGACTGTAGTCATGTAACGTTAAAGGAGCTTATTTTAAGACTGTTGGCATTAAGATTGAAGCTCCCCATCTTGACGTTGTGTAAATCGGATACTCTGCCCAGTGGCTATTTATGTTCTATTTTTATACTTTAGGGTGAAACTGTAGTAATTCTGTGTGGTTTTGCTGCCTCAGTAATGAATTATAATAGCTGTCTGTACTGTCTCAGATGTTATTGTCCGTCTTTCTTTTGATCACATACTTGTATGTATTGCAGATTTTTAGCTTAAATCTGAAAAAAATAATTGGGTGGAACAAAAACCTGAAACAGTGCCACGAAAACTTAAATAGTAGAGTTACAATTTTCTTTTTCTTGGATGTGCCTTTGCTAATAGAATCTGCTTAGACCTTCTCCACTATCACTGTGTTAAATGAAGTTGGTTGCATTGGATTTTCCAGGTTCTCCTTACATTTAATTCCTACATCCTGGAAGGACCCTTTTTCTTTTGAGGCTGTTTTAATTGTATCAGAATTCTCTGAAGATCTGAGTAATCTTTTTATAGTATGAGGTAGTCATTAATCTGCAGCATAGAATTCTCCATATTTTTCTGGTTTACATTTGTGGCCTTTACTGGAAGGAAGTGAAAGTGTTTGCATCTGCTCTGTGAAAGTGTTTCTCACTGCTGCTATACAAGTCTTCTTTAAAAGCATCCATGTAATCTTAGAACATTAGTTGTTAACTTATGCTGCTGGAGTATGTATTTAGCAAAAGGAATGATTTTCAGCTTTAATTCAAATATCATGACAGCGGTGGGGCTGTAATAGGATTTCATTCTTTCCTTTAATTTCATCCAAGCAGAAAGTTTGAGAAATTAAAACTTTAGGCTGAAGATTACATTCTTCAATGAATGCTATTAGCTACAAAGTTGAGATTGTCTCAAATCCCGTCTACTACATCAGTACTTAGACTTAGAGATCTGGGTCGCTTAGTGTTTCATCCTTTGGGACTTTTCTTTTTCTTTGAAGGTCACCTTTATTACCAGTCTGTTCTTCCTGTTGTCACTCCTCTTCTTCCACCTTTGGCCTTAACCCCCTGCAGAGGAAGAGGGTTTTGAAGTTACAGAGCTCATAACTGCTTTACATTTACATTTTTCTTGCAGTTCCTTGGTGTGCTCTAATTTTTGATCTGGTGCTTGTTATCTTTTCTAGGCAATACCTATCAAACCTTTTGTAAGCCCTAGCATGCTATTTCTTATTTTTTTCCACAAGAGTGGGTGAAGCATTTCAGAGCTTCCAGTGAGATGCAAGAATGAAGGCTTTGTGCCCTGCTTAGTCATTTACCAGTAGCCAAAACTTGGGCAAGCATGAAGTCAGGAATGATTCACACAGTCTGGTTTTGGATAAAGCAATTATTAACAAGTGACATAAGACCTAAGCTCCTAAAGTGTGGATTGCAACGCTGTCTTTTTACAAGTAGTTTCTATAAAATTCAGTTGGTTATGCTAATATTTAGGATTGTAAGCCTGGCAGAACTGAGGTTGCGTGAGTTTTCTTATTGCCCTTGAAGGAAAACAGCTTTTACTTGCATCTGTCTTTTCTGATGTGCTAGTAAACCAGAATACCTGCTTTGAAACTTCATCCTGAATAGTACTGAACACCTGCAGCTTCCTTTCCAAAAATGTTATTTTAACTACTTTTGAAATTCATTATTCTAAACACGGTGATTCCTTAATAGTGCTAGGCATTACTTTTGCCACAGCATGGCAAGGAGGAAAGAAAGCCTAAGTAGAATAGGAGGAGCCAGAAGACTTTTTAAGTTTGATGGGCCTCTCTGGAGAAACATGTTCAATTAATGTGAAAATATAAAGTGCTGAGAGTTTTTGCTTTGTCTTACTTGAAATGAAATATCACTTTACCCCTGAAATCTTACAATATAGTTAGTGCTTAATGTGAAAATAAAATTGAACTTCTTAGTTATTTAGCAGCAACATTCTAGAAAGTAGCCCTGTTAGGGATTTCTGTACAGTGTGCTGGTGTGGGATAGCTTGTTTATTTCATCCTGATTTTGGGAAAAGGGATACTCTGCAGAATAAGAGCCTAAAATGGATGAAATTTAGCTTGTCATGCTTTAATTAACGTTGTTAATCAGAGCTTTTAAAATTGCTGACTATAACAGTTTCCCATCGAAGTTTCATTTCAATGACAAGGAAACAGTTCTGTTATACAAGTATTATGTGGTGGTTTTTTCTAGGAAATCTTTTGAAGTTGTTTGCCAACAATATAATCCAAAGGCTTTAAATTTGTTCCTTACATCTTAAAAAATCCTCTTATAGACAAAAACTTTTGGTTTTGTACCAAATCTGCCAGTGGCAGATTTGGACTATAATCTGCCAGTCTTTTTTTTAGATTTAAGCATGCTGAGCATGGCTTGACTGTTCTGATGGCAGTGTATTATTTAGTGATAGTATCAGAATTCTTGTCTTTTAGCAGACAGAACCAGATGTTTGACTTTTGATCCCTCATACTTTAACTCTCACCAATTTAGGGAAATGTTTCTGCTTACTGTAAAAGAGGAAGAAAAAAGATCCCTCAAAGCCTCAGTGCTTCTACTCCATATGATTTTTGTTGATGAGGAAAAGCATTAACACATTTCACACATAGGAATAATACTTCTTCTATTTGGGGTAGCATAAATCCATGATGATAATACTCAAAAAGGAAAAGCTAGGTTTTTAATTAATCACAGAATATTAGGAGTTGGAAGGGACCTTGAAAGATCATCCAGTCCAACCCCCCTGCCAGAGCAGGATCACCTAGACTAGGTCACACAGGAACGCGTCCAGGCAGGTTTTGAATGTCTCCAGAGAAGGAGACTCCACAACCTCTCTGGGCAGCCTGTTCCAGTGCTCTGTCACCCTCACAGTAAAAAAGTTTTTCCTCATGTTCAGGTTGAACCTCCTATGCTCCAGCTTGCTCCCATTGCCCCTTGTCCTATCATTTGACATCACAGAGAAGAGCCTGGCTCCTTCCTCCGGACACTCGCCCTTTACAAACTTATAAACATGAATGAGGTCACCCCTCAGTCTCCTCTTCTCCAAGCTAAAGAGACCCAGCTTCCTCAGCCACTCCTCATAAGGGAGACGCTCCACTCCCTCGATCATCTTTGTTGCCCTGTGCTGGACTCTTTCAAGCAGTTAACTAACTGCTTGAATAACTTTGCATCTTCCACATGCCTTTTTAAAAAAGACTATGACTTACATAAACAGGTCAGAACATCTGTGGGTAGCTCTAAATATAACAACGAGAGAAACAGTGATATAAATAAGGATAAAACAAGCTGTGACATATGTATAGTTTCTTAATAGAGATAACTTTCATATTTCCTTTTAGTAGTTTAATTATGATTTATTCAATGCTGTTTGTTATGAGAGACTATTCTGACACATGTCTTATTTTCAGAGCTGTTGATAGGCAAAATTTCTTGGAGACAGAGCTGAAGACAGTACAGACCTCACACAAGGATCTGGAGAGCTTCCTCAAGTGGCTTCAAGAGGCAGAGACGACTCTTAACGTTCTAGCAGATGCATCCCAGCGTGAGAACACTGCTCAGGACACTGCCTGCGTAAGGGAACTCAGAAAGCAGATGCAGGTGAGAAACTAAATAATACTGCTGCTGTTCATGCTTTTTCTTAATGGCAAATATATATAAAGGAAAGTTATCTACTAGAGTGAGGAAACCTGCAACCTATTGGAAGCTGTTTAAAAACCAGTATTTTAAAAGTTAGGTGCATGAAGGAAGCGGATTTTTCTTAAGTTTTGAAATACATATTTTGTCGATATCTGCAGCACTGAGGTCTCTTAAATGTCCTTGGAAGGTGACTGTATTTAGGAAGTGTATTGAACCTTGGAGGGTGTCTGTATTCAGGAAGTGTGCACTTGATTAAACGAAGTCATGTTGTGTGATTGTCCTACCAAACAATTTAATCTACTACTCTCCAAGTAAAGCCCTCATGGGCTGCAATGTCTCCTGTCCCTGCCTGCCACCTTCCTCCTGCTTTTCCAGTGATCCAAGAAGTTGTCATGGTTGGATCACCTTTTGTCCCTTTGGTACTGCCCAGCAGCTCCCCAGCTGGCCTGCCTTCCTGTACAGGCCACAGACTGGAAACCTGAGAAATAACTGAGGAGACTGACACCACTTACAGTCCTTTTTAATATATGGACAACCTATCTTGTCTAAAATCTGGAAGGGAGATCCCTTTTCCCTGTCTGAGAAGCATGGATTAACTGAGTACCGTCACATGGTCTGGCTTTTACTGCCATTGCCTATCTCATATGTCTCCTATGGGGACGCAGGAGGGACAGAGAGGAGCTGGGTTCAGTCTGTATTAAGGGTACAGTGTATTGAGGGGAAAACAGGAGAACAGGATGTGGAAACCTGACAGCTTTTTTAAAACTCAGTATCTTTGGGTCTGTGACAGCAAATGGTTAAACATCACTGGCTAAAAGGATTTTGTGTTTCTATGATACATGAATTTCCTGTCCTGTTTACCTGATGTGAGCACTGTTAATGTGTCATCTTCCTCCTGAATGTTTTAATATGTTTTTTCTTTCAATTAGATTGCCTCATTTAGCACAGTTATTTTGATATGCACAGAACTGTGTGGCTACATCAGTTATTAAATTCTGCACTCTGGGTTTGGAATAATGTCATCTGTGGTCTAAGTTCATGGGGTTTGAATAGCTTATAATGAAAAAAAAGTGCTGCTTTCAGTAGCACTGTTAATCCGAACATATCTACATTGAATTTAAATGAAACAAGACAGTTTAAAATATCTGATAGCAAGCTGCTCACTGTAATCGTAAGGAAGAGCGCAATATATTGCAAAAACTTATGTCTGTTGAAGATGATATATCACTCACCAACGTTTATGTGGGTCTGGTAGTTGGGTATCTCATTTGTAGAGATGTGGCTCTTTTTGAAATGCTGAGACTAGTCTGTATCGGCAACACCTAGAAGTTAATATTATACTTTCTGTTGACAAAAAACCCCAAACTACTGGTATAGTGGAGGTGGAAGAGCTGAAAAGGGGGCACAGGAAGCTAACAACATGAGACAATGCTATGTGTATATAGACTTATTTCTGCATGACCTTGCATTCTGTGTAGTCAGTCACACCAAGATAAAGCTGCTGTATCACAATTTGCTTGTTGGCTCTACGTAGCTGTGAAGCTTCATAGAAGATTGTCATAGAAAGTTGTTCGGTGTCTCATTACCTGATATTCTCCATTTTTTTTTCTGTGACTGTGTGCTTTTACACACTGTGTATATGAAGCATAATCACTTAACTTGCCCATGACTACATAATATTGTGAGCTTTTGTCAGCTATGAAAGGAAGTTAGGTAGAGCATGCCAAAGACTGTCATGGTGTAATGGCTTCCAAAATGAACTTTGGCCTACTATCTTTCAGTCTCACTTTAAATATAAGTGAAGACATTTATATCATGACACTGGCAAACACTCCAAAATCAACATTTCTATTTTCAAATATTTGTTTAAATGAACTTTTGAAAACAAAAAGCTCTAATATCTTGCTGTACCTTAAAATATCAAGTCCACTCCCTTGCAAGTTCTTAAGCTTAATATCTGATTAAACAAAGACAATTTCCTGTTCTTCCCCTATTGAGTGGTATAAAATAACAATGTTTTTCCTCTTTGTGCTTTATTGAATATATGAAGAAGTATTTCTTCTAAATGGCCATAAGAAGAATGCAGGACTTGTGATTTTCTCTGCTCTGTGTGAAAATACCTCTGCCCCCAAGGCCTATTCAATGAGTAAAACTTTGCTATGAGTTTAAGATGTTGTAAATTCTAGATGAAATATGTGCTGAACACAGACAAAACATGCTGAATTTGTTTTTGTTGTTAAACATCATGCATTTTTGAAATAAGGTCATCTGTTAAACTAACATTGGTGTGTGTGCATGGGAGGACTACCCTCCATTACATTTTGGGGCTAACTTGTTTGGCTGCAGCTCAAGCCACTCTGCAGTGGAATCAGTGATCTGGGCACTGTTGAAGCCTTGTTTTACCTTCCATTATGACATCTGAGGCTTTCAACACTACTATGCAAACTTTGAGTGCAGTAACGCTTTCCTTTTGAAAAGGAGGAAATTCAAAATTATATTTTGAATTCATTCTCTCAGTATTTAAATGTTGTAGAAGACTTTTCCTTCAGGTTAGTGCTGAAACAGTCTGTGTTCAGAATGTTTAGCAGCCACCTGAAAGAGGTTAAAACCTAATTTGAAGCAAGATGTAGAAAAGAAGTTAGAAAATGGTAAGAAGTGATACTGGGTCAACGTGTGTGTGAAGCTCTGTGCCTACAGATGTAAAAATGTTCAAAATAACTTTAAAGTTTTACTGTAAATTAAAATCAACAGGACTAATGGGGAAGGAAAGAAGTGGAACTGAAAGAAAGCTGCAGGTATGAACTGTGGGTTCGTTCTTAGAAGAGGTTTGAGTTCTTGCAGTTATTTCTGAATGCCTCAGTGTTTTTGGACTTGTGCTGCTTCATAGGTTTCCTCAAAAGTTGTTTGGTAACGACATATCAGCTAATGATGGTAAGCTAGAGCTGGTAGGTTAAGGGAACAGACTTGTGGTTGGAGATAAAAGTAGATAAAGTAGTTATCTAAAAAAAAACCAAACAAAACTAAAAAGCAGTTTGTTCCTGCTCCAGTAGGGGGATTGGACTAGATGATCTTTTGAGGTCCCTTCCAATCCCTAACGTTCTGTGATTCTGTGTGATTCTGTGATAAACCAGGAGCAATGGAGTACAGGGGAATGGTTCAAATGAATGATGGAGATGAGGAAAGCAAGTGAGTCTGGCAAGGTGGAGAATACAGGTGGTAAAATTTCTATATGCAGAGTGGAATGAAGGCTCTGTTTCCTCAAAATGATGATGTCATTTGTGCTGGATGGATCAGGAACAAAACAGTACAGGTAAAAGGGTTTTGCCTAAGGACTGCTAGAAATATCGATTCAGTTTTAAAAATAAGGATGAAAAGGTTGTGTTAGCAGAATTGGATGGGAAGAGTTTTTAAGTGTTCTGCATGAAGAACCTGCACCTGGCATTCATGCCCTCAGATGGAAAGTGAACAGGCAAACCAGTGTATAATGCTCCAGCATCTAAGCATATGATCCTAGGTAATACATAGAACTTGTCACGCTACCTGTAGTTGGTCTCTCCATGCTGTGCTGATTGATGTGCTTAAAATGTATTTGTACCTGTTCATGTGTCAATATGCACATTAAATAATACAACTACTTGTAATGGTGTCTAGCACCTGCTGTGTTGATAATGTCTTCCCTGAACCTTTGCTACAGCAGCCCCTCTAGTACAGGTTTAAGTAGATTCATCATAGCACCTTTGGAAGTAATAAGAAATAGCTGTATTGCATTGGGAGTGCCTTGTTGGTAGCAAAACACTTCCATGCTCTCAAATGTCCTACTGTCATCCTTATATGGCTTAAATATTTCTGCTTTGTCATGGGAAAAACATCAAAATTACGTAGCTTTTGGATTCAAGGATGGCTAGAAAAAGAGGTGATGGTGCAACTGTATGCTTTTAATGTGTCAAAACCCTATTCTTTCAAGTCTTAATAAGTCATTCAGGAAAAGATTTTAATTGGAAATGTCTCCTGGAAAAGATTCCTATTTTCTGGTGAAACTGAGAATCCTTTGAGATCCCTTTGACTAAATTAGCTTTAAGAGAGTTTTCATAGCAGAGAGGTTTGCCCCCTGCAGTTTTTCCCTTTGTATTGGGTAATCTAGTTTTGAGAAGCGCCTGTGTGATTTATTAGCCTTTAACATATGGCTGATATAATTAGGGCAGGTATCCCTCTGCTCCTCTCTCAAGATTTATAACAGTCTGCTATTCACTCACTCCACAGCTCTGCCAGAGCTGCGTTTAGTCTGAGAGCAAGAGCATCCTTTCGCAGAGTGAGGGAGCAAATGCTCAGACTGCCGATAGAAAGCAGCTACTGAGGGAGAACAACTGTTGTGATACACTGGAGCTGTCTTCCTGAAGGAATTCCTTTTTTGTTCCTGCAGCTTTCAGGCTTAAATTAATAACCTTTCCTGGCTATTTAGTGCACTCCTCAACGGTGGCAGACGCTTGGCTGCTCAACAACTTAATTTACCCTCTGCACAAGCAGAGCTGAGCATTCCCGGTTAGAAGAATCTGTCAAGGCTGTTATTTTTTTGCATTTGTTTTTTGGGTTTATTTTGGGAGAGAAACTTATGCTATATCAACCTCCTTTGCCTTTGAAACGTATAAAGCCTGTGGCTCGCAAAAGCAGTCCTGGAAGAGAGCATGCTCAGACAGCTGGCAAATCATTGTCCAGTGACCGGGAGGAAATGATAGTTGCTCTTCATTTATAATGCAAATTCTGAGGTGTCTTCAGAAGTGTGGCAAACTTAAAATGATGGCTGTGGTGAGAACGTCTCTGCAGAAAGTTGTGGTGTTGTTGCATCGTTTACAGAGGATGGCAGTTTCTTCTCCCCGTTACCAGAAGCTTTGTAAGGTAAGAAATATAAGCCCTAAATCTTGAGTGTCTAATGCTAACGCTGTTGTCTTTTTGAGATAAAAAGA